GCTTGTTTCAAGGAAACTTTACTKACACACAGATGGGTAACAATTGAAATTTCCCCACTGAAAATTAATAATGCTAAGCCTGCATGTGTATATCTTGAATTAGCTACTATCAATTAGAGAAAAGAACACTRTTTTCTAATAACTAAAGACATTATTCTGAGGACAATGAAGAGGAAACACAGAAGTAAACAAATATTTCAAACTAATTAACATTTGCTCATGGACTATGTTGTTTTATGGCTAATAAATAAGGGTTCAAATAATGAATGCTTAATTGATTGGTTTTGCTTTTTATTGCATTTGCCACCTGCTGTTAGTGGTAGCTAGATAAATCCTAGAGCAGCAACCAACACCAGCAGGACCTGAACATGTTCACTACAGAATGAATGAAAGTYTCAAAGCCTGTCTTAGGAAACAGCATAATAACTTTTCCTACCAAAAAAAATTGTTTCAGACAATTAACAAACAAGAAAGTGAGGGGAAAACAATCGAACAAATCTCATTGCAAACCTCTCACCAAACTGGGAAATTTAAGAATTGGCAGTGAAACTGCACAGCTTTTARTCCARTGTAGCTGGATTTAATACCAGACTGACTGAAGGAAGTTACTCACTGTTTTCCTCCCCTTTGCTTAACCACTGATGTAACACCAGTTTTCCCTGGCAAGGCAGCAATGTATTTCTGGTTTAGGTGGTTCACCATGCTCTCACTGATGGAATGGCCTCCATCACTTCTTCATTGCTGGTCAGAGCAATCTGCACTGTCCACCCCATTTTCTTTCTTATTATGGCTSCATGTGGCCTCTACTTTAAAAGACAAAAGCCAAATTAGTCAGGTAGGGAAAAGGATGGGGAAAAAAGAGAGAATGCTACATTAACAAGTGGCTATATGTCCATCACTTAAAGAAATACAAAACAATGCCTGAAACTCATCCACCTTYCCTTACTCCTCTAATTACCCATCTTTAATGCCTAAAGGAATAAGTAGACTGCAAAAAAAAAGGTGTTTTTTTAAACCTTGCTCTACTTCTGGAAAGGGATTGTCTGTGCAGGACACCAATGTAGCTGCAGGAAAGAAAGGACAGAAGCTCATAATGCAGTCACTATCGCAAGAGATGAAATGGTAACACACAGAGTTGGTAAGTACAGAGAAAGAGCCAAGTTTCAGTRTACTGGGATAGGAGCTGCATACATTAAGGAGAATAAACACAATACTTTATAGTAAAGGATGGCACATTAGATTATATGAGCAAATGTGTGAGAAAGAAAAGTTTAGAGCAGAGTGCCAACTGAAAACGCAGCACTGGAAAGGCTAGAAAGGGAGCTTATGCTGCATGAAAGATTGTTTTTCAGAGAGGGGCTTTAGAGAGAGAGAGGATAGGATTATTTGGTCACATCCATCAGATTGGATGTAAATAATCAGCCGGAGGAATTCTCTAGGCCATGGACTAAGAGAAAAGAACATCTAAGCAGCTACAATAGGAGTGACACTGGAAGAGGTGAATTAGCAGTCAGGAAGCTCATTATTCAAATGAATATGGACAAACTTAAAGGTGATGCTCATATGGGGACACTCTGTTTGGCCAGGCAGCATAAATATGCATAGAACACTGTCCAGYCACCTTCTCACCTTGAAATAAGCAGTGTGACTTAAAAAGCATGGTCTCAACAACGCAATGCTGAAGCTAAATCTGCAGAGACAGGTAATCTGGTGAGATGTGCACTGCAGAATGTTAGTCAGAGCTACTCACAGTGCTCCAATGGCAGCATGGGGCTCTTTGTTCTGAGATGCAATGAGTGTCAGCAGATCCAGCGCTGTCACTTGACTGACCTTGCAGGAAAACAAAGGTAACAAAAAACTCTAGGCAGTGGGGAGGGAATTCCCAGTTATAGATTCCAACACACAGGTCAAAAGCTATTGAGAATTTTCTCTCTGAGCTACCAAACCTAAAAGTCTAATCTCCTTGTGAGTGAGTGGGTTAGGGGATATATTGAAATACACAAAATGAAAATCAAACAAGAGAGGAATCACCCTTTCTAGCGAGGTGATGATTCCACTGAAATAAAAAAAAAAAAAAAAAATTAAAAAAATTTTAAAAAAAGGGCAATTCTATGAGAATAACCACGGGAAGAACACATCTTGGTCAGACTAATTAAAAAAAAAAAATAGACCACCACGAATCCGCCAAAGATGAATGATCACTGTTCCTTACCAAAGCTGAGACTTTTGATTATATGTTTGCTGAGGTATCATACCAAAAGAAAACCCAAACAATTCAAATCACCCCAAAGCAGCTTAAAGAACATCCTGCTCAGAGACAGGTACGACTGGTCTGTGCTTGAGCAAAGCCTCTTGTAAAGGAAGCCTGAGCCCGTGGCAGCTTTGAGAGGAGCTTTTCGCTGCCATCTAATGGTAAACTGGGAGAAGAGAAAAATCATACCGAGGTCTTCACCGMCCCGGAAAGTTTTGGTTATAATTACAGTTCCAAATAATTGAAGAAGCATTAATGATTCTTAACGGCATTTTTGCATTTTTTTTTCATTAAAAAGTGCACTTACTGATCCAGATTGGGAGTTCCCAAGCACTCATGTAACTGTAGTGCAAATCTTGTGCAAGGGTTTTCATGGCCCTTGTGGCATGGAGGGAGTCTGGCAACAAGAAGACCTGGGAGTCTTTGAAGTTTCTCTACAGTCCAGGGTGAATAAATCCAGGGAAAAAAAAAGCCTTGGTAAGCATCTGTTTTCATGACTGAGACGTAATAATAACATGATGTACTTTCTAACTAGTACAACTGGAACAGTTAGCCACATGGCTGGACTAGGAAATTAAGCAAGTGTGCCAGAGGTGATGTCTCTGTTTGGGGTTGCRAAATGATGAAATAAATCAGATTCGTGATGCCTGTTCATGACAACCAAGGCACATTTTCTTTGCATATGATTAATTTCTGCTTTTGCGAGATGTCACTACATCACCTAATTTTAAAATGTAAAAGATGGGTGACTCCAGGCACACTCTTTACCTTGCCTTTAAATATGAAGATGCAATAAGGATGTACAATGCCTAACTAACTTATACTTATAAGGCTTATACTTACTGATACATTTTTGTTTAATAAGAGTAAGTTAACAACACTGTTAACAACATTGAATCATTACTTTAATCCTACATGAGACAAATTCCAAGAGATCTTAAGAGAATGGGGTGTTTGGAAAGATGGGTTTGGGGTGATWTTTGTTGGGTTTTGGCAGTGGGGTTTTTTCCTTCTTAGAGAAGATAGCATTTCTGCTCAGGGAATCCACACTGCTCTTGACTGCTCTTTTCTGTTCTGACTCACTATCTTCCATTGTGAATGAAAAAAAGTCAAACTTACCAACCTTTTTTTTCTCCTCAGTAAGCATGTATGTATATTTTAAGATATATAAGGAAAAAGTGCTAAAAATTTAGAGGCTATTTAGAGGTAATATATTCTCAATTGAAATCGGTCAGAATCCCACAGAACTGAGCACTGGAATATTCAAAATACATAAATACACAAAGGTGATCACAGATTTCTTCCCAGTGAAGTTTCTAAGGAGGGGAAATAGCTTTGCCCAGTAATTAGTCCTTTACAAAATATCCCTGACACAAAAATATCCCAATCAAACATTTTATGACTAAGTTTATACAGGTGTAAAATTAAGCAATCACTTATAATGCCTTTGCTAATTGCACAGCSGCTGTGCAGCAGTAGCTCTGCAGTTATATCACTTTTCAGATTTGTCAATAATTTTTCCAAGGGACGATCGGTCTGTCAGCATTTTAAAGCAGAACTGTAAAGCTGAGGAGCTTTATCTGCCAAAATTATCCTGAACCTCGTGCAGCCACTTAAATTAGGGCAAGATGCTACCAATCTGGTTGCATTCTGTGCCTGTTTTGTGTGGATACAGAGAATTCCTCAAATCCTGAGAAATCAGAGCATTCAGAAGCACCAAAAGACATGCAGTTGGTACACAGTATAGAGAAATCTGGGAGAAGACAGGAGAAAGGATGGACCTCTCCTGGTTCCTGAGCTCCAAAGAGAAGCAATTATGAACTACCACCAGCAATGGACATGTYGAATAAAAGAGGCAGATGTAATGTGAAGGAAAGTAAGAAAGATAAGCGGAAATCCAGGCCCTAAAGGGGTTTGGATTAGATTCTCACGGTGGCCAAGCCCTTCAAATCAAATCTGTGGTTAGTAAACTTCAGCATCTCCTGGAGTGATTTCCCCAGGGAGAGATATTCATAGTTTTCTGTTTTGGGCATGTGGGCTGAGCATGAGAGACTGAAAAAAAATTCCTTAGAAAGCCAGGGAAATTATAATGGGAAACAGCTCCGGCACATCGTGGTGGGGTGGGAGACCATTGGTGGTTGGACAAGTCTTCCAGTGGAGGACAGGGCAGARGCTGGTGCCGAGAGCAGAGAGTTGCTCCCAGAGACCACTGTGGAGGGGTCAGCAGGATTCCCGGTTCAGCCTGCTGCCCTCCTGCCTCTCCCAGCACCATCCAGCCTCTGCTCCCAAACTGGTGTGCAAAAGGGGAGAGGCGGCCCCAAATGTATAGAGGATGCCAAGAGGATGGAGACAGACTTTCCTCGGTGGTGCCAACCATTAGAACACGAGGAAACGGGCAGAAAGTAATACACAGCAAGTTTCACCTAAACATGAGGAAGAACTTCTTTACTGCTCAAGTGCCCSAGCAGTAAACAGAACAGGCTGACCAGAGAGGTTGTGGAGTCTCCTTCATGGGAGACATTCAAGAACGGTCTGGTCACAATCCTGTGCCATGTGCTCGGGCTTGAGCAGGGAGGCTGGCCTAGATGACCTCTTGCGGTGCCCTCCGGTGACGCTGTGAGAGGCACCGCGGCTCCCGGGCCGGCGGGCACGGTGCGGAGAAGAGAGGGGCCCCCGCGCCCCCACCCTGCCCGTCCCACCCCGGGTCCGCCGGGCCCGAGCCCCGGCAGAGGGCGCCGAGCCGGGGCTGCGTTGGCTCCGGCTCCGCCTCCGGCCGGCGAGCGGCGGCGGGGACGGCAGCGCGGCCCGGGCCCAGGCGCCCGCGGCACCCAGGTAACGCTGCAGCCCCGCGTTGGGGCCGCCCTGCGTTGGGGCCGGCCGGGAGCGCCACCGCTCCGAGATCGCGGGGCCGGGTCACTGCGGCGGGCGGCGGCGGGCGGGCGGTGAACGGGCCTGTGCGGCCTCGCGGGACCGGCAGGGAAGGCGGGGCCGGCCGCTCCCGCCGCCACCGAGCGCTCCCACGGCGGGTCAGGGGCCGGCCCGGGGCGGGGGGTGCCGGGCAGGCTCTGCTGGCCCGAGAGCTCCGACGGTGCGAGGAGTGCGCGCTTCTTATGTGGGGCCAGCTCAGGGCCCTCCTGGCCCGCTTGTGCCCGCTGGCCAGCGCGGAACAAACTAAGGTCTAGCCCTAAAAAACAACCCAAAAAAAAAGGTAATAATTGTTTGCACATTCAAATAACTGCTGGAATTTGCCCCCGAGCTAAGCAGAGGCCTGTGTCTTCTGCGAGCGCTCTACCATCCTGCAGTTTAAACTGTCATATATATTCTAAGTACAAGAAAAGCCGCCAAGGGAGCTGTGGTTATTTTTATTTGGCCGGTAATTGCCTTCATTAATCAGGGCTTTCTTTCTCCACCACAAATACTGCCTCATTTCAGATATCGGCAGAGGTCGCTTGGGTGCGGGGAAGCCAGACTTTAATGTCATGAGGAGAGGAAACACGTGTTTCCACGGGTGTAGGATCACAGCAAAAGCCAGCCAGCACCCGGCTCGTAGGGACTCTAAATCAGTTTCTGAGAGCGTTGAAAGACATTTGGGATGTTAGGGGGTGTTTCCACCTACTTGTCCCGGGTTAGAGAGAGGAGCAGCAGCACCGGGGAGCTTGCCCATGAGCCTGCCGGTGTCACTCCTGTTGTCGCTCCTCATTTCTCCCGAACTCTACCACGGTGCCAGTTCTCATTTGGGGAAACGGGGGGACGTTGTGCGGCATTGTGCCACGCAGGAATGTTGTGGTCCAAGCAGAAACTGAAGTTAAGCAGCTTTCGGATTTTCTGGATTTGCTTGCTTGCAGTGTTCAGCAACTTGCTTGTTTTGACAATGACTCATGATAAATACCGATCTCTCTGTGCTTTTTATGACATAGCCTAATTTCTGTTTATTTTGTGGATTATGTTTCAGATGTAGGGAGGAAAGTGCCACAAATATGTTTGGACAGTTAAAACTGAACAGCAGAAAAGGAGTTACAAACTRAATATTCCACTGAGCTTTTCAGTGTTTGTTTCTTATCTGTTTTTGGATTGCACAGTGTATGAGAAAGGCAGATCATAAAGCCACCTAAAGCCATGTGCTTTCAGGTGATGCATTGCTGTATGGGGAACTGGATAATCATMCTTTAGTAGTAACTGTTATGCCAAGTGTGGGGAAATCCTTCCAATCGGTCAAAGCAGTTGCTCATTTTTACACATGAATGTTTGTTTTATTTCAGGGTATGCTATGACTGGCTTCAGACTCCCCATCACCACTTTCAGAAAACTAAATGTCTGGTTTGGACTGTGGGAGAAATTTCCCTCAAATAAACTGTATCCCACTTGGAGGAGAAGCATATTCTGTAGCTGTCAAGCAAGTACAGTAAACTACAGAAGATGTTTCAGTTTTTCCCCRGTCAAACTCAGTGCACTAAGACTCTCTCCAGAGTACATCTCAGTACTTTCTCTGCGGAACAAAAGTGGCAAAAGCTCTAAAAAGAGCAGACAAAGCGTACAAGAAGAGGAGGAAGAAGAGGATGAASAWGAAAGTAATTTGGAAGATGAATTTGAAGACGACYCAAATGTAGTAAAAGATTACAAAGATCTTGAAAAAGTAGTGCAGTCTCTTCGATATGATGTGATCTTGAAAGCTGGTCTGGACATGGCAAGAACGTAAGTATAGAAGAAACAACTTGCAAGTGAGAAAGACATCATGCATTTAAAATTTGACTTTTGATAACCTTTTATTGCTGGAATAATTCAGTATTCGGGGGGACTTTCTGACTCTCTAAATACATGTTTTGGATGTATGGATGTTCCTGTTTATTTCACCCTACCTCCCTTGAAACAGTCTGATTTTGCTTTTCCCTGCAGTATTTCTAAGATTGCTGAGGACACATTTTGTATCACTTACTATTAATTTAAGATGAAGAAAATGCGAAAAACTGTACTGAGTAATACAAAAAGATCTGATTTGAGACTGAGGGAGTAAAATAATCACTATTTAACGGATGGAGAAATAAGGGGTGATGAGTATAAGCTTAAAGTAACAGGTCCGCCAGGTAAATGTGCAGTCTATAAATGTATCACAATGTTTGGTCTAATGCAACCTAYAGAAGTCTGACATCGCTATGTTGTTAGAACAGCATATTAGTATAACTGCATCAGTTACAAATTATTAAACTGGCTGGTGCAGGAAAGGGGACATTATTCATTGGATATTCAGGAGACAGATCTCTAGAAACAGCTTTTCTGGCACAGAGCAACTATATGCTATTAYTTAGTATCTGTGAAAGGCCTTTACTTCAGTTCAGGTCTGTCCTGACCATAAATGAAGGTGTCCTTTACACACAAATTAGAGTTGTGGAAATGTGCCTTGCCCGTGAATGGTGGTGTTGTGTTTCTGCAAGGAAACAATTGCATTTGGTTTGCTGCATGCTGTAACTTGCAATAAAACTTTGTTTTTCTTCAGTAAAGTAGAAGATGCATTCTACAATAATGAACTGAGGCTGAATGGAGAAAAACTRTGGAAGAAAAGTAGAACTGTAAGATTTTATTTAATTTAATTTTTTTTAAATATAGTACAAGAAAATAGCAAAATCACTCTGCAAAGGTGAATGCTTGGCATTGCTAACGCCATTTCCACCTGAAGGGGGTGGTGTGACTATGATTTGCTGGGTAAAAAGTTATTCCTTTAAGGCAGATAGGAGAGTTGGAGAGTCAAATCTAAGGCTGAAAGTCAGGAGAAGGCAGCAAGGACAGAACATTTTAAGTTGTTGAAGGAAGCGATGATATGTATGCAAGGTTGATGGAGTAGGAATGATTAAATCTGAGATACTGGTGGAGCAGGCACATGGTTAAAGAAAAAATCCCTCTGCTGATAGAGAGGGATTGAAACTGGATGGCTGAGGGAAGGTTGTTGTACTGTAATAGAGCACACAGGATCACAGTTAGGACCGAGCCAGAAGGATCACAAGACACGTACTTCTACCAACCCTTTCTTCATGTGAGGGTTATTCTCGGTGGTGCCTACTGTCATCAAAGGGAAATATGATGAGAAATTTTGATTCCTGATCTCATAGAGTTAAGGCTGGTTTATGAGAGGGGTACTGGTTCTATGACATTTGAGAGGAGCATGGGCAGTTGCTRAGCACCCTGTTCTTTGAAACACTTTAAACTGTTTTAAAGACATGAGAAAGAACTTTGCATTTTGCTGTTTTTTGTCTGTATTGATTGAAAGAGATAGGTGGGAAGCACACTTCAGGATAAAAAGCCATACATGACACCTTTTTCACAGAATTAGGTTTTGGTTGTATAACACAAAGGGWGGAGCTCTTGGCAGGGAAGGTCATGAGACATGTCACTGCGTATTGCCACGGCTTTCCTAGAAGTTAATAGCTGGAGGATCTATAATAGGTCTGCTATTGGCTGCCTTCCTCCTGTCCTGCAAGATAAGAATATTAAGTGGAAAGAAAGGAAGATTGCAGGGATTCGTTCCCCAGGGAATGTTTATAATCACTCATCTTCTCTTTCTGTTTCCAGGTGAAACTTGGTGACACACTGGATCTCATAATAGGTGAAGATAAAGAAACAGGAAGTGCTGTAGTTATGCGGGTAGTCTTAAGAAAATTATCTGAAAAAACTGAAAATGAAAAATACAAAGTCACTTTGAGGCGTTGGAAAAACTTAAAAGTGCCCAAACAGGATGTACTTAAGTAAGGAGRGGTTGCATGTGGCAGCATAAGATTTTTGCAGAAACCATATTTTTTTGTTAAATATGAATTTTGGTTAAACAAAATTACAGTACCCTTTTTTTAAGGGCTTGTGTCAGAATGTTATCTCTGCCGCGTACATCAATAATCATGCAATAAGCCTGTCACTTTTTGCTGTTAGCTTTGTTTTGTGGTACTGTAGGTTAAAAGATGCAACACTTATATTTCCAGGAAGTTTGTGATAAATAATGAACCAATAAAGACTGATTCAATCACAATTTAATTGCTATCTAATTTTGTTAATCAGAAAGGTTACATTAAGGCTGGACATCACAAGAAGCAGAACAACTTTCTTTGTTTTAKCTCTATATTAATGAAATAAGGCTAAAGCTGTCAATTATGTAAAATTGCTTTCTTTATCATTATTTAATCTTAATTAAAGGTTAATAGTACCAACTCCATGCTTATATTTGCTGCTGCTATACCAAGAACACAGCAGGATGCTGATTGCAGTGGCATATTTCTAAGCAGGAAACTGTGGTGACAGAGAATCACAGAATCAGAAGTTTATGTAGGAAAACACAAGATCATTGAGTCTAGCCACTGCCAAGTCCATCACTAAACTGTGTCTCATTAAGTGTCACATCTACATTTTAATGTCATTTTTAATACCTTCAGGAATGGTGACTCCACCGTGTCCGTGGGCAGCCTATTGCAATGCTTGACAGCCCTTTCAGTGAAGAAGTCTTTCCTATGTCCAATCTAAAACTCACCAGTGCAACTTGAGGCTGTTTGTTCTTGTCAAATCACTCATTGCCTGGGAGAAGAGACCATCCATAACCTTCCTGCAACCTCCTTTCTGAGCTTCTTTTTGCCAGGCTAAACAACCCCAGCTCCCTCAGCAGCTTCTCAGGAGACTTGTGCTCCAAACCCTTCATCAGCTCCATTGCTCTCCAGCCCCTCAGTGTCTTTTTGTGAGGGGCCCAGAATTGGACACAGTACYCGAGGTGTGGCCTCACCCCGCTCAGGTATAGGGGGACAATCATTTCCTTGCTCATCCTGGCCACACTACTGCTGATCCAGGCCAGGATGCCTTTGTCCTTCATGGCCACCTGGGCACAGCTGGCTCCCATTCAGCTGCTGTTGACCAGCACCCCCAGGTCCTTTTCCACTAAAGAGCTTTCCAGCCACTGTGCCCCAGCCTGTAGCACTGCTTGGGGTTGTTGGGACCCAAGGGCAGGACTTGGCATGTGGCCTTGTTGAACTACATACAATTGGCCTCATCCCAGCCTGTCCAGATCCTCTGCAGAGCCTTCCTACTCCCAACCTGATCAACACTCCACCCAACTTGGTGTCATTTATAAAGTAGTGAGGGAGCACTTGATCCCCTTGTCCAGAGCACTGACAAAGGCATTAAATTGGACTGGTCCCCATATCCTGGGGAACCCCACTGGTGACCATTCCCAACCACTCCCTGGGCCCAGCTATCCAGACAGGTTTTTACTCAGTGAACAGTGCACCCATCCAAGCTATAAGCAGCCAGTTTCTCGAGAATGCTATTGGAAATGGTGTCAAAGGCTTTGCTAAAGTCCAAGTAGACAGCATCCCTCAGCCTTTCTTTCCCTCATTCATTAAGGAGCTCACTTTATCATAGATGGAGATGAGGTTAGTCAAGCAGGACCTTCCCTTCACAAACCCATGCTGGCTGGGCCAAATCCCCTGATTGTGCTGTGCATACCATGATGCACTCAAGATGATCTGYTCCATGACCTTCCCCAGCACTGACGTCGGGCTCACAGGTCTGTACTTTCCCAGCTCCTTCTTCAACCATTCTTGTATATGGGCATCACATTGGCTGACCTCCAGTGACCTGGGGCCTCCCTGGTGAGGCAGGACTGTGGGTAAATGATAGAAAGTGGCTCAGAGAGCTCTTCCACAGCTCCCTGTGTACGATTGGGTGGATCCCGTTGAGCACCATAGACTTGTGTATGTCTAAATGGTATAGCAGGTTGCTGACCATTTCCCCTTGGATTATGGGGGCTACATTCTTCTCCCTGTTATCCAGCTCAGGGGTTTGAGTACCTGCAGAACAACTGTTCTTACTATTAAAGACTGAGACAAAGAAGGCATTAAGTACCTCAGCCTTCTTTKTGACTACATTTCTGCCTGCACCCATCCAATAAATGATGCAGATTCTTCTTAGCCAACCTTTTATTGCTAATGTGTTTATAGAAACATTTTTAATACATTTCACGGCAGTAGCCCTATTAAGTTCTAAGTTTCTTCCACTTCTCTCTCTGCAGAACCTCAGAACATCCTTGTAATCCTCCTAAGTTGCTTACCGCTTCTTCCAAAGGTCATAAACTCTCTTTTTTTTACCAAGTTCCAGACAAAGCTCTCTGTTCAGCCAGGGTAGTCTTCTCACCAGGTGTGTCAGGAAGTTATGACTGAATCATGGCAGTAATGCTCTGCTCTCATGGAGAAGACAAGTCAGTGAAGAGCTGGGTGTAGTACTGCTGACTTTTACTATTTAACTAACCATGYAGAGGAAGATGAAATCTCAGATTGTCATTATTAATTTCATTGTGACACTTAAATGGACATTTAATACGTAGGAGGTGTAAAGAGCTGATAAAAGTCAGACGATACTGGGGTGAGAAGCTCACGTCTGTATTACTACAGGGAAATACTGTCACTTAGGACAGGCATGTCAGGAACAACCACTTGCATGGGTGATATTAAACATGTGCTTCTTCCAACACAATTTATTGGATGAACTGTGAAATATGCAGATTTTTTATTATTTATAAATTATTACATATAGACAGCCCACACAGGTGTGTGTCTGCAGGACACTGGGAGCTGGCCACTAGGAGCAGGTCATCCATTCTGAGTCTGCTCCCATTCTAGTCTGGAGAGCCCAGAAAGACAAAGGTAGCCCTGAATAGGCAGCAGGAGTATATTCCAGGATACTTCTTTTCTTTCATGCCAACAGCTACTCAAAAGCTGTGCTTAAGMAGGGTGTACCTCTCCATACCCTCAAAGTGATGGCTGCTGAGTGAAGGATTTAAAATAATTTCTTGCTTTCTTCAGGCATAGCTAAAATGTGTGCTGTTTTGGTTTATTTGGATTCTGTTTTTTGGATTTTTTTTTTTAGTTTGGTTAGTTTCTGCTTTTTCATTTTGTTTTATTTGGTTTAGGGTTTTTCTGATTGTGTAGATGTTTAAAGATGCAGATACATGTCTAGCTATTGATATATAGGCATAGTGACCTTTGAAAAAAAAGATCCTGATCCTGAAAAGCTTTCCTGGGGGATTTTGGTGATCCTTACTGTGTAGAAGTTCAGTGRCTCAGCAGAGCAAGCACCCAGAGGATGACAGCAGGCTGTTCTTTGATAGTGGGCATTGCTGTCACGACTCTGTTGTAGCTTGCACCAGCTGCTATGGAAATAAATGAGATGCACCCTCTGTTCCCCAATTCCACTTATTGATATTTTAAGTGGCTCCCATAATCTCCAGGGATGGTGAGGGAAACAAGTAGAGAGTTGGGTTGTAAAGTATCAGTGAGCTCCAGATGCTGGTCAGCAACCTGTCAAATGCTTGTCAGCATGTACACACCACCTGTCACCTCCAGCAGTAGTAGCTTACAGCAGAGCATGCAGGGCCGGAGAAAGACCCCACTCACAAATGCCAGGAATGCTCTGGAGCTTGGGGATAGCTAAGGTATGGATGTGAAGAAATTAACTTTCTGAAGGGGTCTGTTCTGTGCAGTGTAAAAACATTAGCAAAAAAAAAGTAGACCACACCTTCCTGGCATCCAAGATAGGCAGGAGAGTTGCATCCCTGAGAGCCATTAACATAAGAAAGAGCACTTAGGAGAATAATTTCTTGAATGGGACAGAATATTAATATAGTATTATGCCAAAACCTTCAATTTTTGACTTCTGGAAAACCCTTTWGGAAACTAAAGCAGACAAGAGCAAAAGTAATCAAGACCTAGCCTGTTCCTAGTGATGACAGAGACTTTTCACCAGAGCCTGTGGTGACAGGACAAGGGGCACTAGTTTTAAACTGAAGAGGATAGATTTATGTTGGATATAAGGATTTTTTTTTAATGTAGAAGGTGGTGAGACATTGAAAYAAATTGTCCAAAGAAATTGTGGATCCCCCATCCTTGGAAGTCTTCAAGGCCAGTTTCAGTGGGATTTTTAGCAACCTGGTCTGGTGGAAAGTGTCTCTGCCCATGGCAGGGAGTTGGAACTAGATGATCTGTAAAGGTCATRTCTGGTTCAAACTATTCTGTGATTCTGTGGCTGCCACTAAAACCTCACTGATAGTGGAAGGCAGAAACAGGCTTTCACAGGTTTTATGTGTTGATCCACTAGTGGTATGAGCAAAGGAAAAGAGAGTCAGACTTCCTAAGGCGTCTTGTGATGCGTGAAACAGCCCTCTGTGGTTTCAAGATTGAAATGGTTGGAGAGGGAACTGTACCCATGTGGCTCAAAATAGAAAGCTTCAGTCACAAGGCAGGGTGATCTCAGAGGAAAACTATGACAGCAGGAAGGTGAGCAGCTGCTCCACTTGGCTACATTGATCTGTTCTGGATAARCTTCTCTATTGATCAGACCTTTTTATTGGGGTCAGACACTGCTAAGCAGGYTGTACTTGTTTCTGCAGCCTTTAAACATCATGTGAGCTAAAACTGTGACCTACGGAAGGGTAAGCATGGACAGCACGTGTTCTGGGAGGTWTAGGAACAGGCATGTCCACAGTTTTTGCTGGACCTTCACGGGGCATGTAAAGCACACATAAACTGATCTGACAATCGACTATGCATCTTCTCTTWATCAGCCGTGAATTTAAGGTGATGGAGTCCATTGACAACAGCCAAGTGTGGTCAGATGACATGGTAAAATAGTAAGAAATTAAAAAAAAAGCTTTAAGGTGCCACTGTGCATGGAGTGGTGAGATACTCAAATGCTTTCCCTCCTGTTCGGAGTTCAGGGTATGAACAGTGATTTGGGTAAATGATCACCACTTCTGCCTTTGTCACTGCTAAAACAAATTTCCTGCTCCAGGGCATGGGCATCTKCCATTCTTAGTCTGTGTGATGGGGGAACTATATGAAAGGGCTTCTTCAGAGATACTGCTGAGAGCTGAAAAGGGGAGGTTTGGACAGCTTGAGAAGCGACAGGTTCATAGGAGGCTGCCCAGGTGACTGGGTTGTCCAAGCCACCTCTGCCTTAATCACAGGCAAACCCAACCTCATGCTGGCTGTCAAGGCATAGACCTAGAATGTCCAGCCTGCCTGCCCTTACACAGAGGGAAGATCTGATCCAGATGAGTTTGCCTGGTCCCACAAGAGCAGGCACTGTCAGATTGTGGGTACAGGATCCCGTTGTCACTGGCACAGCCTGCAGCATGAGCTGTCAGCTTTGCATGTCTCCCCTGCTGCAGGAGCAGTGCCACACACCTGTGACATCTGCTCTATGTGGGCCAGCCATTATGGAACAGGGCATGGGAGAGAGGGCCCTGTGAAGGAACAGTGGGGAATTGCTCCCCAGGAGTTGGACTTGGGTCTGGCAGAAGAGAGCCCRGTCAGCCAAAGCAGGCACACACTGACACTCCTGAATAGGCTCTGAGTTCAGCTGCCCACAGACTGACAGAGGCAGGGGTTGTACCCTGACCCCTCCGGCCACACATAACAATTCTTTTTTTTTTTTCTCAGAACAGAAAAGCACCAAAGTATTTCTGGTGGGGAGTTAGGTTTGGGGTTTTGGTTTTTTGGTTGATTGGGTTGGGTTTTTTGTTGTTTTGTTTCTTGAGGTTGTTTTTTTCCTGTAATGGAATGTCAGGACAGTTTGCCTTCAGCACTTACCAAATTACAGAGCTCAACAGCCTGTGCAAAACAATTGTGATGGTCAGTCTATGATGGCATGGAAGGGAAAGGAGTCCAAAGAGATGCATGTGAGCCATGCAGATCTGAGCMCTATTGAAGCTAGAATTCATTGGTTTCCAGTGCTCCTGTATACAGGCAAGAACTAGAGGGAYGGAGACCCTCTTTTGTATTAACTCTTGGAAAAAGGAGAGATAGGGAACAAGARACAAGGGGCATTACATGACATAATACCAAACTCAGTTTTATACAAGGAGTCAGATTTCAAATTTAGGATGTAATCCTATCAAGTGACTCCTACTGCTGACAGGTAACTTAACACTTTCTTTTCACAGGAAACATTTGTAGACCTAGCTAACAAACTACCTTGTGGGCTAACCAAAGTTGTACATTCCTGAAAGTGTAACCATTAAAGGAATATTTTGCCTTCCAGAGACGTGAACACTAAGACTACAAAATGCCTCTGGAAACAACAACAAACAGTTGCTTTGCTATAATGAAATTTGTGAAGGAAATTGGGACTGATTACTTGACATTTGTACACGTGTTCTGTGTGTGTAGTTACTAATTAGCGATCTTCCTCGAATGTTCAGTAATAATTTGTTTCCATCTATTAACATCAGTTTCAGTATGATTGCACATGTAGTGATTTTGCCCATTTTATGACTGGGAAGTCAGTTTCACTAAAGSTTAAAACAGAAATTAATGAAAACATGGTTAAAACCAAACCAGGTTTGCTCTATTCAATTTTGTTCTGGAGTGTGGGGAAGAACAGAGAAGGGRAGAAGTGGGAAAGGAACAGCTTTCCTTCTCTTCTATTACAACTTTTCCCTTCCCATGGGAATCAGTTCTTTCTTCCAGATTGTTAATCAAAGAAAAATGCTCACTAGGGTACCACAGTCMCATGATGGAACAGACCAGGAAAAGGAGTAAGCAAGTGGTCTGCTCATGTCACAGGCTTTCATGGCCATTAGCTAGAAATGACAGCACCCAGAAAATGACAAAAGTGAAAAGCAATATGGTGGATAAAAATAACACTATGTAAGGGGTAGTSTCCTGCCATTTAGATGAGGTGCAAGGAAAATGTGAATGTGATGGAGGCGTGGTTTTGTTAGGAGTCATCTGCTTCCAGCACTAGAAAGCCAGGGCAGCTCCTTCAGCCAGCATTCTGCTGCAGGAGAGATTACCTCTCAGAACAGGATTTACATGAGCTGTGACAAAGACAAGTACTGTGTATTCTGTGAGACACTTCTATAAGAAATTAAGACTATCACGACCAGTGAGAAGTTTAGATTAATTAATTTCAGGGCAAAATAGGGATTTTGAAAGCACTCTTACCACTAGAAATTTATCTGTCTTAACATTTACTAGGACAAAAAAAGTGTAGGTAGGAAAAGATGAAGACAAACAAATGTGTATTTCTTGCTTGTTCTGCCTTTCTCAGCAAAGTCAATTTTAAGAGAGAATCAAGAGGAAACTAAACCATGACTTCATCTATTCATTTTTATCAGCTTCAGGCACATTAGAAATATACTTTCAGAATGTTTCTGAGGAAAAATCCGTAATTCCATTGGTGCTGAGTTGTAGTAATAACGGGAAAAAATCAGAAAGTCAAACCAAGGCAGYAAAGAAATGTTGGCAGCGTCAGTCATGGAGTTCGTTTCATTTACTTAGAAAAACCTGCCACACTTGTTCTTCCATCAATTTTAAGTGCAATCAACTAAAATGTACTTTTGTAAGTAAGAATACTTGTCAATTTATGTCCTGTCCTCATGAGAGGCAAGCTTAAGACAYTGAATTTTCCAACTGTTCCACCATCCCTTTATTCAGCAAAACAAAATCTGAATAARAATAAATTATAAATAAAACCTACAAATTTTCTGGGCTTCTTGGAGATGTAGAATTCACGTTAGCCCCTTCCAGCATGAAATTAGACCTGGTGTGCCTTTGTAGAGCATTGAACACACCATTCTCTTTCKCACTGCTATAACATAAACATGAAACAATTATTTAAAAGAGACAAATGACAGATCTTTTAGAATGTACTAGAAATAAATTATATGCATTTTGAAGATAATAAAGTCACAAACATTTCTTAGAACATGAAACTGTTGGCTGTACTGCACTAGCATAACAAAGTGATTTCAAGTWAAGATTTTTCTCATTTGCCAACACATTTGTTGTTGATTCTGTCAGTTGACTACATTTAACAGGCAATAAACTGATGCATACTTCACCTCCCTTTTGATGTGCTGTTTTGCATTTTTACAGAGCTTCCAAGGAAATGTTTAAGTTGCAGAAAAAGCGTAAGATGCAAAAATAAAGAATTATGATACATACTACACTGTTTCTTTTAGGAAGCTTAGAAATGGGCTATTCAATACTTACTGAAAGCTGATATATTTAAACTGTAAGAAGTAGACAGAGACACTCGATACCCACCTTAACAGAGCAGGCAGAAAGTAATGCTTATCCATAGGAAGTCAGTGTGCATGGCTACAGATGTGCCCCAACACTTCAATAAGTAGCAACCCTCCTATCATGGTTTTACTTTCAAAATTGTAAGTTTATTCTTTTAAATAGAAGAAGTCTACAAGACAGAAAAACCTTTTTAAATAGCTGCAGCAAACTGGGGTGTTTTCCTTTATGTATTTGTCCAACTAGCTAAGGTTATCTCAGATCTTAGTAACAGTCTTCACAGGAAAAAAATCCTGCTTGTATCCAAACAATCACCAGACAACATTCCTCTTGTATGAAAATAAGATACCTTTAATTTATTTACAAGACTGACCAACTGGATGAAGTGGCTGTACTTCAGATGCACTGCAAGAGCTTTTGTTAGTGAACTATGCCACTGTTTATATGTCTGCATTTTCTTGGTATCAGTTATAAATCATACAATCAAATGAATCATAAAAGGGTTGTGAAGAGTGGGACAAAAGGAATGTACACAGCAATAAGAGAAAAAAAATACAACGAAATTATTTTTATACCCACTTTCAAAAACTATCATTTTTATGGTCAAAGCTGTCAAATTGTTTTTTTTCCACTATTTTTTAGAATTGATGGATTTTTTGATGTAACATCTACAGTAAAAGCCAGTATGTCTCAAACTTGCATGCTAACTAGTAACATCTATCCCTTGTAAGAAAGTTTAATATATAATGAATTCTTATGAGAGCTTTGACATCACTAAGTGGCAAAATGTATGACACTAAGATAAGAAAATAAAACTGTATTTCTTACCTTTTGGCCAGCCATTTGCAACCACAAATTAATCAGCTGTTAATATTTTGTTATTTTATATATCCCATAAAAGTGCATGTAAAAAAATTTCCCAGAGTTTCTAGGTAGCATACAATGACAAGAGAGTCTTGGTTTCTGATACATTCAATTGGATAAATTTATGCACTAAAATGAACAGATGCAGACATTGTGRTATCAGTTCTTTATCTTTGGTAAAATGATTTCTATTTATTATAGCYATATTTGCTCTGATATCCATTTTGAGTATGGTCTGATATTACTTAAACCAACAGGAAACATTTAAATGGATATAAAACAGTATCAGTGTGTTATTTAGTACATTCATGACTTTCTTCATACATTCTTTGAGAATGTTTCTAGCATACGGGTAAAATGAGCAAATGCTACTACCTATGATTTACTCCCAGTTTAACWCAATACTTTTGCTAGTTCTTGCTGTCAGGAAAACCATTTTGTTTTCCTTTTAAAGGGATCAATATGAGTCTAAGAACAATAAATTCTAAAAATCTGAAGTAAAAATACCAAATATTTTGTACTTTCTTACAAATGCTAAAATAGAAAATTACACTGAAACGGACTTAAAATTTGCTATGACCCATCTAAGAAAACAACAGAAAAGGACCACAGAGAACATCAACAATTGCTCCAAGGTGTTCCAGTGATGCTCTGTAAGCAACCACTGTCTTTACTGTCTTAATAATCCATGTTTTACTCTCTCTCACCACTTCTATCAGTATTAAAAGTTTTTAAAAAAAGAGAGAAAACTAGTTTTAAAGCAGCACTCTCCAGTGACAAGTCATACAGCAAATTCATATTGGGTTCTGGGTGGTCTTGTTACACTTGAACATATTAATGATGCAAACTTGACCACACAAACCTAAGTTATACATACACAGTTATGTCTCCAAAAAACTACTCATTACACTAAAASAATTTGGCAAAGTGAGGGAGTTCAGTATCCCTACACCCAGAATATCCAGATGCTGCTGCATTCATGGAAAGAATTGAGTTACATTACCACAGCTCATATGCTGGGACCCTGAAACACTGGAATTCATCACAAAACCAATCTTTGCACATACTTATTACATATGCAGTTCAGTATCAACACTGGAAACCTTTGGAATCATGATTTTGATAGAAAGTAAGATCTAAAATTTTTCAAGTTCTTGTTTCAGGTCTTTTTGTTGTTGCTGTTGCTTTTGCTACTCTACAAATAGGGTGGCAAGCAGATGATGGGAAGACATTCCATGGGTATAGGCTTGGGTCTGTTCTGCTGGCTTTACTCAGATGAGCAATCCTCAGTCACTCCAGCAGTTACACTGGACAAAACAATAACAGAACTCACAGGGGCAGGATCAAGCTTGTGGTGTCAATATAAAAAAAAACATTCACACAGTGTCTATGCTCATGTCTCAATTCTTCATCAGTTAATTCTTGATTTTAGAAATAAAAACCAATGTAACAGTCAAAAATGCAAATGACACCATTCTGACCCACTCTTTGACACAGTATTATTACTTTCAGTACCGCAATATCATGAAGAACAAAACAAGTGTGAAGCTACAGTTACTGTAGAAGCAAAGTAATATTCCAATGATTTCCAATGAAAATGGCACTTTCAAATTTAAATTAGGCTTARTCTACACATTTCAAAATCCAAATTAATTAAAAATACTGTTTATAATGGTATAATGAAAAACTGCCCTTGAAGAGCACAACCATTAAAAAAATTCTTTATTATTAGAAAGTGATAGAAAAGGAAGATGCAGAAATGGGGAGTGGAGTAATAGTTTCAATACATGTATTTGCACCAGTGAATATCATGCTCTTAGRGAGTCATTGATAGCTGTCACTGATGGTCTTTACCCATGTACAAATGTAGTCAGCCACTTCCCACTGCTGCAGTGCCAACAGAGATGCAACACACTGAAATGCAACAAATTTAGAGCCTGACTGTCCCAGGTGCTGAGAACATTCAGCTCCCACAGGCCCTTCAGTCTAAACCAAAGCATACTCTTGACAATAATTTAGTGGTCAAAGTCTTAGCAGTTTAAAGAGCCTGTCACTTTTTTTGCTTTCTTTGCTTTTTTCAGTATATCACACTTTTTTCTGTTAGGACGCCGGCATCTTTCATCGATGCTCGGTATACATTCATAATGCCACACTTCTTCCATTTTCTCCACAGGATAAACTGCCTCCACGTAATGACGGATCAATCTCAGTCTGATGGGATCAAGCTGTTTTTTATTACAAGCACCTGAATGGTTGTATTGCAGTCTCAGATTCTCTGGAGTAAAGAGTTCAGGAAAGAGTCTTACGAGAAGCCTGGCAGCAAAGTTGCCAACCGACAGACTCTGCTGTACTATCTCTCTTATCTCCTTATCAGACAGCAAATACAGAGAAGGCACAGGGAAGTCTGGATTAGGAACAACGAGTTCATCAAGTGGTATCTTGCAAAAATCCTTGCTACTTCTTTCCGGTGGTAGTGGCGGCCCTTCAAATTCTTCCCGAAACCTCTCAGGGTTTATTGCATAGGTGAGAAATTCCCTCCTGTCAGGCCCTGGCACGTGGATTTTCCGTTGCTGTTGGTATGAGCGCCTTTGCTCCGTGTCTCTTCGTCGACACCTCTCATCAAGCTTCCCAACAAACTCCAATGTCCACACTCTGTCATTCTTTGCTCTGGGGTACAGTATCTGCACATAATGTCGAATTAATTTAATTCTAGTGGGGTCAAGCTGTTTCTTGCCTAAAGATCCGCTACAGTTGTATTGCTTCCGTAAATTTTCGTGAGTAAATAGTTCAGGAAATAAGAGAACAAGCAATCGAGAGGCAAAGTTGCCTATGGAAAGACTGCTTTCATATATGCTTTTTATCTGTTCTTTGTTCAACAGATAATCCGGGACAGGGACATCAAAATCAGGAGGGGGAAAGTCAAGTTTGTCAAAATCTATGGGTACAAGCCAGATTTTTTTTGACCGTCTGCCGGGTTTTTCATATTCAAAACTGTCTTCCACTTTTATGATTGATACATCATCTGGTAAACTAGAAGAATCGTAACAGTCATCTCTCATCTGGTCACATTCACTTCCATCCATATATGTACTTTCAAGCTCATCATTTATTCGCTGAACACACTGCTGCAWCCAAGCTTCTTCTTCTTGCACATCTGGGAAGTAAATTTCAGTGTACCTACGGATTATTTGAAGCCGATGAGGATCCAGCAGTTGTTTTCCAGAGTCTCCAAAGCAGCTGTACCTTTCAGCTAATTTTCTGTGGTCAAAGAGTTCTGGAAATAGTCTGTGTAACAAAAAAACAGAAAATTCCCCTGGTGAAGAAGCTTCATCTAAAAATTCATTGAGATCCTGAGCATCCAGCATGTAATCTGAGGCAATGACATTACTCCTGTCCAAGGACAAAACTTCCTCCTGCTCTTTGTCCTCCATAAAATGAGAGGATTCGACCTGCTCAGTCTCATAAAAACTGGATGATTGCACATTCTGCTGACTGTTTTCCATTTCCCTTTGAGCCCAAAATCTGTTGAAAAAATCATTCACTTGAGGCAAACACTCCAACTGCCACACAGCTGTATTCTTCACAGAAGGATAACAAACYTCCACATAGTTACGAATAAGCTGCAGATGAAGAGATTCAAGTTTCCTTTTGTTGAGAAAGCCACATGCACTRCAGCTCCTGCCGAACTCATCATCACTGAAGAGCTCTGGGAAGAGCTGCACAAGCAACCGGCAAGCCAGGTCTCCACCTGAYGTGCTTTGATCCATGATTTGTTTGAGTTCCGCAGAAGTCAGCTGGTACTCTGGGGGAGGCTTGAAATCTGCCACGGACTCTGCAGGACTGACTTGCTTTTTAATTCTGCTAACTTCCAGAGACAACAGGTCAACTTTACTGTGAAGCTGAGTCATATTGGTATTGAGGGTGTTCAGCGTGTAAAACATTTTCTGTATCAAGGAATATATATTAGGTTCTGAATCTGCTGTGGCTGCTGCTACTGCAATGGCTGTGGCYGAGTCTCTTTTGCGTTGGTCATTCAAAGCCCGAATTTGCGAGGGACTGCTGGGGTTGATTTTTTCAAACAACTCGTAAGAAGTAAACTGCTCTGCTCCAGGTGGATTCTTCTTCTCTGTGATTTTGTGTGAGATGCCATAGAGAGGTTTTTTATAAGATGGAGTGATTATGTCACTGAAGGATTCTTCTTCACAGAGCCACRTTACATTAGAATTCTTGTTCTTGTTTGGCTGCTCTGCATTTACCTGAGTGGGTGAGCTAGCATCTCTGTTCCTCATGTTTGAAAGGGAGCCCTTCAAATGAATAAATACGGTATTAGTAAGACTGCCTTAAAGATACTAGCTCTAAATATGTGCCCTTAGGCAGGCATTGTTACATAAATATGCAAAGTCAAATTTTCTCCAGGGGATTTGCTGTGTTAAACAACAAAAATTAATAAATTCACTAGGAAAATAAAAATACAGTAATAATTACAGTATTCCTTTTTATTTTCCTTTTTTTTTGGCTCATGGCTTTCTCCATGGTATAGAAATGCAGTAATAATTCTTAGTACTGTCTACCCACAGAGCTCTAATTACTCCCCCAAATTAAACACCATTAGGCTTCACCTTGCATATGAGGATCTTGGGCTGTAGAGAATTTGGGTGGCAACAAGTCAGCAACAGAGCCAAGAATAGCATCTAGATTTTCTGACTCCTAGTCCTGTGACCTTGCCACTGCCTCCAACAACTGCATTTAACATTCCAGCACTCTCTTTAGGTTAGCTTTCGAAAATGTCACAGAGGTTATAAAACACAAAAACTATGCTTATTCTCTTTTTTTCTGATGTGAAAGGTTTATATACAGGTTTGTAAAAYAATGGTGCACAACTCCTAAACAAATCCTAGAAATGACCTCATTTTTAAAAGGCACTATATTTAAATAATAAAACTTAAAACCAATGTGAAAAGCACCTTGGTATTATCTTTTTAAAAAGGAAACCTAACAGAAGATTTCTTTATTTTTGAAAGGCAAGGAAATTTAGACTCATGGGTTTGTAATTTCCTAAATTATTTATATAAAGCCAGTGATGAATTCTTAAAGACCTAATGTTCTCAATTATTTGTAATTATTCCTCATTGCTTTAAGGACTTTCATCATCTCACAGCAGATATGCAGGGCTTGGGTGATTTGGGGTATTTTTGCAAACACGTGGATATTGCAAATAATTCTTAGAAGTTAAGCAGATACAACAGAATCAAAATCCAACATACAGAATTCAAACATGAGGGAGCACTCCCAGATTTGTARATGTTTCTATACTGAAACATATTTCTTGGCTTGTTCTACAAGAATTTGTTGTTCTAGAATTTCCATTCCAACTATTAAAACAAATGAAACACAGACTTCAGGTCTGAGCTGARAGCCACAAGAAATCTGAAATTCTAGTGAAGTCCCCATTATGTCCTACAGTGAGGAACCTGAATTAAGGTTTCTGTCTTAAGAAACAGAACAGTAACTCATGAAATCAATGTGGTTTCTATGTGTACTCACACTTGCTGTCTGCTTACAGCAGTGACAAATTGAATCTAATAATTCTTTAATTTCTAATGCAATGTATACTCAAAAGAGACTCAGCAAGAACAAGCTGGTTTCCACTCCAAGTTTACAAACCAGCACTCAAATTAAAGCTGTTTCCAAGTTCYGCTCTCACTCACATCGTATTACCCTACATATGAAACCTTGTGTTTCTACATCCAAAGCTGTGTGGAGAGACACTCATATGAAAATGCAATGTTAAGGCCATGTATTTCACAGTGTGCAGAATCCCTGGCTGTGGTGATGCCTAGGACACCTGATTTCCAGGTCCCATTTARAAAACTGTCCCACTCCAGTCCTGCTCATAGTAAAGCCAGAGCACAGACTGAACTGCGAGTAGACTGAAATCACCACTGCCYCCACCTAACTGCAGGATTCTCCACAGGGACTGAAGTCACGATACAGTACCCATACTTGTCAGTGAAGAAACAGAGGTAGTTCCAGATGGAAACAGAACTCTGCTAAATAGACATGACCTGAAAGCAGGCCATGAAAATCTCCACTGACAACAACCACAGTACTGTCTGCCAGTCAGGCACCCAAACTGAATTACAAAGCTTTTTACTATTTTAGATAAAAAAAACAAAACAAAACATTGCTTACACAAACAGTGAGACCTATCACTTAAGTGGCTCTTTTATTAAAATTCCTGTAATCGAGAATATACCGGAYATTCCTTCAGAATATCTCATATGACTCAATTCCTTCTCTACTACTAAAATACCTTGCTAATAAATAGCTTGCCATTGGGCCACTAGGTATCTGCCAGTTCTCATTTCACCTCCTGTTTATTTTCCCTAATTAATTATATAATAAAACTTGGCAATATGAGGGTAACTTCCATTAATGCACACCTCATGCACAAAGTCAGGCCCAATCAATATTAGAATGTGTATTAAAGAACATTAGTTGATTATTTTGACAGTAATATCATCAAAGGTCGCAGTCTTAGTTTTGGACACAGTGCTCTGGAGCTCACGCTAAGAACTACAGCAGATCTTCACTATGATGGCAGCTGAACTTCTGCCTTCACTAATACAGCTCCCAGTGGTCAGATCTGGCTGTAGGATGGATTTGCATTTCAGAATATTTKAATTTCAGAAACACATAGCCAGTGTTTGACTAGCACAAGACAAAACATTTGGGCCTCTATTTAAGGATTTTTTTTTTTTGCTTTTAATTATCTTATCTATAGTTTCCATCTGGGAACAGCACTGTCCACCCCCTAAAGACATGGCTTTTTGTAAATTCTCCAATTAAACAAATTAGCTTCCTGTAAYATAGATCTTTAAACATCCACGAATTTCAGATAATAGTGCACTCATTTAAGATGATCAGTTCTAACATACTATCAAAACCAAAGCAAAGATACTGTTCTATGAGATTCAGTGTACATACGACAGTGCTGCTTTTTATACTACAATTGCACAGCAAGTTTTTGTGTTCTAGACATTTTATGAACATTTGGAAAATGCAGTATTTTGGAAAACATCGACCAATACAAGAAATTGTGAAATAAGTCTCTCACATTCTCTCTTGGAATCCTAAGCCAAGTTTCAAAAGTTGCCTAGTTATTGTTCTGTTCAATCCTCAAGTCCAGCATTTATGACCTCTGTTATGCTTAACAAACAAAGTTTAAATATCTGCAAGAATACAACACATAATATTCCAGCAATGGAGTAAAGAATAAAAATGCATGAGAAACATAGAAAGATTCTATCAGACACATGAGAACGTGGAAGTCTTGTGCACAAATTTTTTAAACTTACAATCTTCTACACTGTGTTTTTTAAAAGAGAACCAGGGAAAATAATTTCCAATTATGAAGTAGAATTCAGAATTGTAAAAAAAAGAGAAGTCTTCAGATAGAAAGTAATTTAGGAATATAATTACTAGTCCAAAAGAAGTACAGCTCTGTTTATATCACAGATAGATGMCTATGTGATGTGCAGTAAAAATTACTACAAGCACAACGTTCTTGAAAATAATTAAGATTTTCCCACTGTTTAAACAGAAATAGTCAATAAAGTCATCAATTAAAACAAAATATTGGTACTAGAAAAGTAATTAACTTTAAAAATGCTGTTAAGATTGAGGACTGCTTCTGGTTGGTTATTTAACTAAACACGTAGATTCATTGGGGGCAGCCAAGAATTAATTTTCATCATTATTACTGGGTCAGTTTCTGATATTATAAATCCAAAGGTATAATTAATTTCAAATTAAATTTTAAAATTTATTAACGTCAAATAGGAAAATGCAAAGCAAGCACAAGCTCTTTTAAGAATCTSAATGTAAGAAAAACAATCGCAAAAAGAAAAAGRGAAAGGAAAAGAAAGAAACCATGTAATAAGATTAAAACCTACCTACCACAGGCATTCAAGGAAAAAAAACCCAGCCCTAAGAAGCCAAAGAGATGATAGTCAAGAAGAAACACAGAGAACTATGGCTATAAAGGAGACATGAAATCTGCAAATACAACATTGAATAACTGGCTAGGTAGCAGAAGAGCAGAAAAGGATACGTGCATTAGAATAGGTCACAAACCAAAAATAACCCAGGGCCTGAAGTTATTCAAAAGAGGATGAATTTGAATCTAGGTTATTTTAATAAAGTGCTGAGTGTGAAAAACAGGAGGTCATTATCTTGCTCTAGAGGGTGGGAGGAGAGATGTGACTATCCAACACTGGATATTAGTCTTTCTGAACTCTCAAATGGAACAACAAAAATATAAGGTGACTCCTGAAGAAGAACTGAAAAAAGGAGAATTTTAATTTTGGAAAGGCAGGCTGAGGGTGGACAACATCACACAAATTTTCCCACATGCAGAAGATTTTTCTAGRAATAGATGATCACTACTCTCCCTACTGAAAAGAACAAGAAACTTGCCCAATTTCAGCAGAGATTAATTAAAATCTGCCATTGCTGGAAAGGTGAAACCCCAGATTAGGATAACAGAAGAGACAGGGCATCTCCTTCACTGGCTAGTGAAACATCTKGATTATCTCAAGTGGGATGTCACAYCAAATGTAATACATTGTACTCTTGGTATGGCTGAAATCTTCTGCATCCCTGCATTTTTTTCTTTCAAATAGTACACTAATTTACACTGGTCTCACAGACAAAATCTTTGTCACAGAAGAAAGAATTACAGCCCTGACTCTACCTGAGGATCAGGTAGAAGGATCCAGCTGAAGGACTGAGTGACATGAGAGGGACTGTAATCAGTCATRCCCAGTCACTCCAAATCACTGCCCCTTCCTATGTTATCTGATGAACAACAAAAATGTAATTCACACAAATGAATTAACCTATAACTGTATTTTATAAATATGATCACTCCCATGTTATTTACAGGATACACAGACGTGCAAACTGGCTGAAGGTTAGCCACATTTGCAACGAACTCATTACCAATGTAAATTTATTTAAAAGACTTGCATTCTACTTATAGCAGCAATGAATTTAGCCTAGGAAATATGAACTAAAAAATCACAGTTATGTATAGAGAAGTCACCTCTTGCATAAAGCGTCTCTTCTTCACGCTGGATAAGGCATCCTGCTGGCCTCCTGACCCATCACAGCCAAGCGAGSTCTGTTTCCGTTTGTTGGAATCTAGTAGGCAAGTCACTGCACCATCCAGTGAGTGTTTCTCTGCTGATCTGGAAGTTACTGAGCAGTCTAGAGCTTCATCTTCATTTTCTGATTCTACTTTCACATTTTTTTTAAGAACTTTGATTGGAAAAAGAGAAGGTTTAGAAAGATAAAGCAGCCTCTCCAGAAAACCATGACATACTTACTACAATGTTCTGTGGTTTGTTTTTATGAAAACGTGTTTTGAAAAGCATCATTATTTTTTATTACTTCTATGGTAAGTGTATGCTGAGACCATTTCAAAGTCAAAGCATTCAATTTTCCAATAAACGACCGTTTCTTCACCAAAGAAGAATCTAAAGTATAAACAAATAATGTTACAGAAGGAAGATTTTTTTTGGAGGGGAGGACGGATGTAGAGCAGAAATAATAATAACTAACAAAGATAGTGCTGCATTTTAGATAACTTTTATAAAAACATTAATCTAATTTGTCTTGATCCAACTACATTCTTTATCAGGTGACAATGGCTTTAAATCARCAAGTATTTTTGCCTGATCAAAACTTACATAAAGTATAATATTTTACCTTCATCATCATCAGTGATTTCAGCTGAATTCATCTTCTATCTCACTAAAGAACAAAACAAAAATACAAAAATAAATATTAGCATCTTCTGGAATCTGGAAATATCTGTATCTCCTCTTGCAATTACTTTTCATCTAGAGGCATTATAAGTTAACAGCTCACAGGTAATTTCCAGTCCTTCCAGTCTCTATGTTTGTAATAACTAGTTATTTCCAGTAAACTTCATGGCCATCTATAGACCTGTCAACATGCAAACTATGTTGTCAATAACACACAGCAAGGAGGAAGATATTTAAAAGTCTATGAATTTTTCTAGAGAAAAGTGGAAGTCATTTTAACCTTTTCTGTGAAGTGTCTTGGCAGTATATAAATGGAAGTTAACAGTATTAAACTCTTCATCCTGTACAAAATCACTATTATTAGTCCACTGTCTTCATATTGTCCTTGTGGATGACACAAAGCCATCAGAGAAAGAAAATTCATCATAAGTTGTAACCTACATGCTGGAGTAAGTTTTTATTTTAAAATCTTTGATATTTGGATATGGATTGCATCAATTCAAGCAGAAGAATGCACATAGATCTACAGTAAGTCCTTTTTCTTTGTCAACCTCTAAATAACGTGGTTTCTGTAGGGAAACWCAAATACATGTATTATGCTAGCATGATTTTAGTGTTATTTCACATGAAAAACTCAGCTGTATTTCTGTTTACTTGAAAACTAATTTTGCAACTCACTTTGCAACAAACATCAATCTCTGGACATGTTTCTAAAACATATTCTACATCTTTGGAGATCTACAAAGCAAACAACTTAATCAGATATCACTGACCCTTACAGGGCACGCAGCTGCAAACTGACACTCTCAACTGGTAAGCGGGTGACTGGCAAACTGTCACGCTCTGCTCATGCTCCTCTACACAGAGTGTTATGTTTACCTGGCCCCAGAATATTATTGCTTTACAAGTGCAAGTCAATAAAACCAGTCAATAAAAACGGTACGTACAGCCCAGGAAAAAAGAGATGAGGAGAGAAAGTGAATCTGTTATGGAGGAAAACCAGTCTGTACCTCTCTCCTGAAAAATGCTGAATAATATATTTTTTTATCTTAAAATATTGTTTAAAACCCCATGAACACTTGAATGCTGTGATATGAATTTCAATTTGTAGGCAATTTGATGGCTGTAATGGCAACTAYGAAGTTCCATTCTGGATTAGATTTTGTATGATTGCACTACAATGCTACAATGGGTGGCACCCAAACAAAAGATGCACAGATTTATAAAATCAGCTTATACTGGGCCACCCTTGGAGCCAAAATACTCTTTGATGTGCTGATCTTCCACATGGCCCCTATAATACAGCCTTGTAAAGGGCATCCTCAAGGGGATAACATGAGATTGTCTTCATCATCAYGTATAAAAATAAGTCTCTCTCAGTTGCACATAGAGCTACTACAAAACCCTCAGATACCTACTCCTTTTACCCACCATAGCTCCCTATTTCAGGATTTGCATTTATAAACYGATCCATATATAAATTATGCCAGCTAAACACTACTATAATCATGTCACTTAACTTTTGCAAGTCTCTCTCTAGAGACATAACAGTGTGAAACYAAGTGCCCTGCACCAACTTCAAATCCACTTGATAAACACTGGTATGGGTTAATTATGGTCTTACTAACTCAACAGTATTTATGAATTTAGATGAAGTCATTACAGCTCTTCATGAAAAATCCTACAACAGTGTACTTCTTACAGCACTATCAAAAAGCTCTGCTGGACTTTAAGAAAATCCCCCAGTACTAACTGTTCATAGTTTGACCTGATATCCTGCATACATTGATAGTCACTGATCTTTCTCACACTACTGCATGCTGCACTAGGCTTGGTTGTGAGGGCTGTGGTACAAGACGAACATGTGCCAGTGCTCAAGGAGTATGACACATGTTTTTGTGATGGGCTGAGGTGACAGCAAGCAAATCCATCAATATTGCTACARAATATTCTAAAATGCAAATCAAAATGATTTTTCAGATAATCCCAGACAGCTGTAAAAAAATGTTAAAACTCTATCGAAACAGTAAAAAATGTTAAACACAGAATCAGAAGACTGAAAGGTGGCAGTGGATGGAGCACAAAATATTTAGAAGGGGACATATGGAATTATATTTTCTTTCCTAACTCTGCTGTTTTTACTATTCAAATAGGAAGAATGATTTAGAGAATTCCTGTCACAGAATAAAATCAAGCTGAAAGGTGAAGATAAATGAGGATCTGAAGAGCCACTCTTTAACACKAGAAAAAAAAGTGAAAACTGAAGCTAAGCAGCAGTTAACTTTCTGAAGGAAATAACCTCAGGAAGACCAAAGCTACCCTGAATTCAGGTCAAATAACATTAAGTCAAAACATTGTTTCACAAATTTGAAATAGTGTTATTACTTTTGATGTTTTTATTTGAAAATTGCCAGAATACAATTAAAAGTGAATAGTCAAAACCAGTGTCAGAACCAATGAGGCCTAGAMAGGCTGTGTACCATACCACAACTCTCTAGTGCCAAAAAACAAAAAATGTGAGCTCCAGCTTTTTTGATTTTTGGGAGCCCTAGTAATAATCTCTTTCCTTATCTAGTTTCCTGTCTTCTGTGTGAGATTCGTAAGAACTCTGGTATTATGAGAAAATGAAGTACATATAACATGTAACAGCTTCTGTTAGGAGACAGGATTCAATAGTTCCTTTGATTTCCTGCCTCACAGCCCCATCTGCTCCCTCGGTCAAGCATGGATGCCCACCTTAACCTTCCATCTTGGTTATCAGTCAGAAAACAACRCACTTCTTTTTTTTCCTTGTAATTCATAGAGGTAAAAGCGCCAAGMTCAGGAGTATGCAAAAGGTTTGGGATGGAAAGGAAGTATCAAAATCTCTCCTCATGCCAGCAAGCCACTGGTTTGGTTCAACCATGTAATGATACCTCACTTATTCCACCATCTTGCTTCAAATTTGGGTCCACAAGTGACTACCAAGCAAACAAAGAGACACCAACAGAGCAATTGCATCATCGCTTCCATAGGMAATTAGGATTTATGGAAAGGGAAAAAGTCTGTATCTGTTCCTGAGCATGCCCATACATGTATGCCTACATATGTAAGGTTAACATTAATTTTGTTGTTTGTTTCAAGTCCACTAAAGGCAAAAATCTCATATTCTTTAACATACTGATTGCTCTGCATCAGTACTTACGAATGATAATTATTTCCTTTTTAAAAGAGGTAGCAGTGTCAAAGTCTGTTTTGAGGCAGCATTCTGGCCCAGATTGTGAGAATAAGCAAAGCTGGAGTAGAAAAATATCTAACAGATCTTGGGGCAAAATACTGCAAAAAGCAATTGAGTAAGAAATCCATACAGTAAAGCAAACACAAGGAACAGTTGTTCCTTGTCAACTTGAGTATACATAACATATTTCAATCTTATATGTATTTTTTTCAGAACGTAAGATAAATAYACTTATCTTTCTCAGCCTAATAATTACTCGATGCTATCTAGAGGACAGCTGTTAGCAAGTTCTAGGAAAGAGTGAACACTGCTGAAGTTGGGAGCCCACRCCTGCAACTGAGTGGCAGAGCAACCAGCCTTGGCAGCTTTGTCTTGCTGGGACACAGACAGATGCTGCATGCTCTTTTCTGGTGAATCCTCTGGAAAAAGGATTCCAAAATACACCAAACACCTACACATCCAGCAGCTACGTCAACAGCTAGATCCAAGGGAGCAGGGAAAGAAGGGGGGCTCTGACCTTGGCTGTCACTATTGGCCTAATTCCCTTCCCACAGATCCCGCTCTCCCTTCTCATCAGACCAGGCAATGAACAAGATAGTTCATTGAAGGGACTTAACACTCCCTACTTCCATTACTCCTGCTTAGACATCTGCCTCTATCATACAAATGTACCAAATCATGACACTTAACTGCACTGTTGTATCATTTTGGTAATGACATTCCACGTTGAAACGAGTTAACAGGGAAACTCAATACATAGCACAGTGCTGGGAGTTCCAAAGCATAGAACACCTTAAAAAAAAAGTTTTGGAATGTTTCTCTATGCATTTAGTGTTAACTATACCCCCCAATGCTGCTTTAGCACCTACAAAAAAAATGCAATCCATTTATCAAAAATGCACCTAACCAAAATATGCACTGAAGCCTTAAGGATTTAAAGCATTGGGGTACAAAAAATTTTGTGAATAAGGGAGCAAATTGCAACTCATACTTGAAATGTATTTCAGTCTCATATCATCCAGTATAATACATATCACTACTTGAAAGTAGCATAAATATGTATCTAGTTATTGATTCATAAAATGAAACCGAATCCTAACTGACTGCTAAGTTAAATCTTCCCATAATGTGTTTTCTCCTCCTCCTATTTGCCACCTAAGATTAGTCATGTGTTGACCTTGGAGGATGCTTTCCTGGCATCTTCTATGATTTTGGCCATTTGTTGGAGGTTAGGATTTTTCTTTTTGTTTTCCTTCTCTTCGGAAATTTTGTCCTCTCTGTTGCTAAGATACAATAATGACCGGTACTCAAGMCAAAAGAACGAACCCAGCTCCAGGGAAAGGGTGCAGTTGGCTACTTCCTTATCTGGGGGGTTACTCTTGGAGAGGAAGAGACACCGTGAGACTTGGGCTAGCAAAGAAGGGGCTGGGTGTAACTCCTAGGTCTCTCAGCACTGAAGGGGAGACTGGCTGCAGTCACTGTGGGAAAAATCCAGCATCACTGACGTCCCATCTCCTACTTTTCTTCTCCCACTGCGAGTGAGGCTTTGCTTGTAGGAGTGGCCATTGAACTGAGACCTTATTAACAGTCTACATCATTGGAAAGCACTGTCACCATCTACTCAGGTGCCGCAAGGGAACACCTGGTACCCTGAGCCCGTTCCCTTCTGAGGGAGTCTCTCCCGGCTAGGGAGTCTCTCCCAGTTAGGGAGTCTCTCCCGGCTAGGGAGTCTCTCCCGGTTAGGGAGTCTCTCCCGGTTAGGGAGTCCGGCTGCCGCCACTGCTCCGGGTTTTTGCTACACTGTAAACACACCACAGCTCCTGCTAAGGCTGCAGAGGTTCTGGTACATTTTGTTTTCCACTCCCGGGGTGTGCCTGCCTTTGCCGTTCCAGCGGCCGCTCCGAGGTTCCGCCATCACCGCGTGAGGGAGACGCGGCCGCACCCGCGGCACAGCGCCCCCTGGCGGGCGGGGGAACCCTCGCAGCCGGAGCCCCCGCGCCCCCTGGCGGCCGTGACCGGAACTGCAGCAGAGGGAGCGCGGGGACAGCCCAGGGCCGGCGGGAACGGGGTGTCGGGTTTGGTGGTTGGTGCTGCCCTTGTTGGTGTTTGTTTGTTTGCCTTGTTATTAATACTASTAAAGAACTGTTATTCATATTCCCATATCTTTGCCTGAAAGTTCCATAAATTTCAAAGTTACAATAACTCGGAGGTAGGGGRTCACAATCTCCATTCCAAGGGTGGTTCCTGCCTTTCTTGGCAGACAGCTTACTTTTAAAGTAAGACATCGCTGTAAAAGCACAATGCAAAGAGAAAAGATCCTGCTGATAATATAAGATGAAGGCACTTCTCTGCCTTAGCAATAATTCTTAAAGAAAGCCTGACTGATCGCTTTCACATCCTGACTTAAAAAACAAACAAAACAATTCCATCAGAAAAAAATACTGCCGTTCTGCTGTTTGTAACTGAAGAAGTAACTTTTTACTCTTTGAACTCCCATATCTAACCTACTGAGTTCAGATAAGTGAAAAAAATAGTGTGAGAACCAGTAGGAAAGTATAAAATTGTACACATGCTGCATGTGGAAAGCAATTTTGATTTCATCACACGTTAATTGTAATCCTAAAAGAAAATTAATCATCTTAAGTAAGATACATAAAAACAACAATAATACTAATAACAACAACAATAAAAATAATGCTGGTTATGAGTTTTATAGAAGCTTGCTGTTTGTAATTTAAATGCTTGCGTAACATTGTACTGTTCAGTTCACCAACACACGGTGTGTAGAAGTTGCTTCTTGGATGCATATTGTCCCACTATATATTCTAGCTTYTTCATGTAGGTTGGAAAGAATGCCCCTAATTCTTCATTACAGACTATAAGAACGTTATTAAAAACATAGGGGGTTGAGACATTGTGTATTGAGTTTATTCCCTTTAAAGCCTCAYGGTGGTACACTCCTTTACACCATTCTGTAACAGGACTTTATCACAAAATTGCAATGGTATTACACTACATAATTAGAGTGTGGTTTACCCAGAGCCAGTCAAAACCACTGTACATAAATTCATTCTCAGCAAGTGACAATGATTAATCAATTAAATCTCAGCGAACACTCAAGTGTCTGAGGTCCTGCTCCCTGTCTCCGAGTGTCTGCCCATATTTCATATGCAACATGCACTGGGTGAACCACAGAAGGCAGCCAATGCTTCCCATGGGAAGCCCAGAGCCTTGAAAGCTGGTGTGGGAAGGTGGAAGCAGTCCCGTTCCACACAGCAGGTGAGCAGAGGGCTGCCTGGAGCATCTGGCAACAGTGTGGAATTTTGTCCCTCGTGATGTTTTACAAGACTGATTCCTACAGAACAGTTGGAAATAATGAGAGGAAACAACGGTTCTCAATGATTCTCYGGCAATCCCAGAGTCAAAAAGGACTGGAGGCGTGTGCCCTCTGCTCAGGCTGCCCAGGAGCTGCCTCCTGTTCAGGGTGCATGCTGCTTTCCAGGCTGTCTCTTGGAAAGCTCTCCTGCTGGGCTGAGAAGCAAATCTAGAGAACTGCGAGTTCTGGGTTCTGCTTTGGGAGCCAAATAATCTGCATCTTTTATTTCCTAGCTGTGGCAATGGGTTCAATAATTTCAATATTGCAATTATCCTTGGGGTACATTTGATTCCTTCAATTTGTAAAAAAACAATTAATCTCAAATTCAATTCAACTGAATTACACATAAATACCACTCCAAAACTGAGCCGGAAAATGTATTTCTTAGAGGCAGTGTTTGCCTTTTGTTCAGATTTATGGGCCAGTGACTTGACCATAAATTTTATGTAATTTTGACAAGACCTTACAAATTTTGAAGAACTAGAGGGTTCAAGTAGTCTGATACCTGAAACCACCTAAATAAAAAAACCCCAAACGTCAGATTACTTACTTGAAGCTGACCACCCTTCTTAAAGAAACTGAAATAATACAAATGTTGCCTCAATTAGCTAACAAAGTGTAAAATGCATGTAGACAATGCATACTAATAGAAAGCAAATGCTTTCTATTCTATTCGTTTTGAGGTAGTAGGGTGCTGCAGCGTTATTTCTCAATAAAATTTGTTCTTGATAATYTGTACTGACACTTGTAATATTAAGTACCGTAGAAAACAGTCTTCCAACATTACAAATGTGTTCTGACTACAAATGAGTGAATAGCAAGTCCTAAAACTACAAAGAAAAATATTTTAAAGAACCAGCAAAT